ATGTACTCAGTGTTATTTTCAAGCTGCTGGGGCAAAGATTCGAACTCTAGTTAGCTATGAGGGATCCAGTTTCCTTAATTACTAGGTTATGTGGCTAGCCTGGGTGTTAAAATTCCAACATATGGATTTTGGGAGAACACAAACATTTGGACTATAATATGATTATTCTCATTAAACCTGCAAGAAAATTTCTCAACACTTTTGATAATCCAAGTTAACAGGCTGAGGCAATTTAGTTCAACTCAACTGTTAGGAATTCTAATAGTTCTTGCATGGGCTCTTTTCTTGGTTCATTTGCTTGGGACTTCCCAAGTTGAGTATTCAGGCAACCAGGTTCAACATTTCTGGCATTAAGTTTTCCTTTCCCCTGCCTTTTGTCTATTTTTCAACTTTAATTTCTAGCCCTTAATACCTCTGTTTAAGGATCTTACTTTCTTATCTCTTAAATGCTAATGATCCACCAGAAAAGTCCACCATTATAATCAAACTGCAAGATTTTGTAACAGAAAATTTACTTACGGTTCCTCAGAGCAGCAGTAAACATGACTTTAAAATTTCAAATTGTCTAATTTCTATCCCACAGAGGGGAGGAAAGTGCTTCCCTTCCACTCCAGGGTAACTGTTTTTTATTCTCTCCTTTATACTTCTCCTTCCCAAATGAAATAGACCACTAGATTTTAGGCAGCGCAGAGTGTAACATTTCAGTTTTCCTATCAAATCCTGTTGAATATTTATACTGTAGTACAAAAGACTCTCAAAATATATGTTTTAAAGTTTACTATATATTCACAATAGAGAGAGCATGTATATGAGAGAGAAAGCTCCTTGACAGGTTCTAATGCCACAATTGCTTTTCACCAGCCCTTCAGTTTGTCAGGACTGTGGACATGTGTGTAAGCACCTGGTAGGTCTTCAGGCTAACCAAGGAAACTGAATCCATAGAAGGCCACGTAGCTTCTGGCATTGCAGTTCAGTTTGCTACTAATTGCACCACTAGGCTGGCAGAAGGCTCTCATATTTATGAAAGAACCAACCAACCAAAAATAGTTACTACTCAAGTGAAACTGTTTATAGAGATTTGAAAACAGAAGTATTTGTAATTACCTATACAAGGGATAACTGGAGATTTAATTATGGCTTGGCTGGTTACCATGACTGTGAAAAGTTACTCAACTTCTTTTGTTTCCTTATCTGAAAAATGTGCAGTAGGTAGCATAGTGAACTCAACTGCTGGAAGCTGCATGGCCAACTGTGGCTTTGGATCCCTGGCCCAGTCAGCCTGAACCATGCTGAGCCGTCCTGTGCCAAAGATCCTGATGAGGGCTGAGGGAATGAAACCACAGCATGATGGGACACTGTTAAGCATGCTTCCCCACCCCTCTCATATGCATGTGCAGGTCCTCTCCATCATAAATAAATTTCAAAAAATTCTTTTAAAAAAATTAAGGGGAACCAGTAGTTAGCATAATGGCTATGTCGCTGGACTCCCACATAGTCGACCGCGGTTCGTGTCCCGGACCCGGTGGCTTAGAACTCACGCTGGGCGCGTGCGCATGTGTGCCCAAGGCCCCAAGAGGAGAATGGAGAAGGGATTGCGGCGCGACCATCCCCCCTGGGGGGTGATTTCTCGCTTTCTGTCTCTATGTCTCTGTCTGTCTGGCGAGCGCATGCGCCCTATAGCGAAAACCTCTCCAAAAAAAAGAATTATGGAGATCATATATAAAAAGAGTTTTTCACAGTTCCTGTTAAGTTTAACATTTAGTTTAAACTCAGTAAGAAAATGATGCTGATGGTGATAATACGTACTTTTGGTCAAAGTAACACACATTTTTACTGTGAATTAAAAAAAAGAGAGACCCACCCATAAAGTTATATATGGCACTGTGTTCACTATTTTTTTAAATAATTATTTTATTTTAGTATTGTTATTCTTCAATTTGACCAGAGAGAGACAGAGAGTGTGTGAGAAAGCAAGCCACCAGGTCTGGGACTCAAACTGGTCAGCCACATGGGAGTCCAGCACTTTAAACACCACGCCACCTGCCCTCCCCTCACTTCTTCCTTTTATAGTTAAAATAAACTGCAACACAGAGTTACCATTCTCAAACTATATTTTTTAATCAATTACATTTCATAAGCAAGTGTTTTTCTCATTGGTAATGATCACACAACCTCTCTGCTTCTTTATGTTGAGGAATCTTTGCACAAGTTAATATTCATAATATTAACTTGAATATTATCTGAATAAGCTCAGTTTATAGACAATTCAGCATATCTAACCTTTGTAACAGCAGCAAATATTATCTTTGTTTCCATTATTGACCACTGACTACACACAGAAAAAAACAACAAAATTGGCATTTATTTATTCATTCTGCAATATTGTTTACTTTGCTTTAGGCAATGCTCTAGGATTGGGAATAGAACAATGGAAATAAAATCTTTGACTTGGTGGATTTTAGCTGCTTCTGTGCCAAGAGGAATAAAACTACTTGTGAATTAGAGAAAGCGGTATAACTCCTTGATCTTTTGGGTAAGAGCAAGTGTAGAATAATTGGTTTAGTCAGGGCAAAAATCTTGTTTTCCCTCTTGGGAAATTTCATTGGATTGCATCATGTGGGGGGGAAAAAAACACAACAAGGCTAAAGAGCAATTGGGAAGAATAAATGATAAATCATGAAAATTAATTTAGTTTCTCCAATATCTGCTGACACTACATGGTATAAAACTAGTTATCTTCCCTCACAGAGCTTTCCATCTAGTTGGAGGATATGATAAACACCGAACCTGCTAAAGTGTTAGTTTCTTCAGTGTAAATGACTGTGATCAAAGAAAAACACTGAAGGAAGCATGTTTGTGTAGCCACTTGAATGGAGCATCCACTGTCACCATTTCCAGGTGAATGGCAGACACACTAATGTTACGAACTGGGACATTAGTGCCTCTCAGGAATAATAATGCCCCATCATTCCAAGTCCCTTTGTATTACCATTTCATTGAAATGATTTGGAAAATCTGTCTTCTTGGATATATAAAACCAAAACAAAAACAGATAATAATGTACATGTAGGGCAAAATGAGATAATATATGACAATGATATAAGTTGATACTAACAAAGCCTTCAGATAAAAGAAAAGAAAAAGCTCCAATTTATGTGGTCAGTGGACTCTGGGAAAAATATAATGGAAGTGCCATCTAAGCTTAGCCTTAAAACACAGGTAAAAGCTAAGTGATGTATGTGACTGAATGTATAAAAGAAAATATATAAAACACACACACACAGGTAGAATTATCTAGGAAGAAAAAAGGGTAGAGATGACAGAAGACGAAGCTGTGCTCATCAGAATTAGGGTGATATGTAATAGTGTAGGAAGAACAATGACCCAAAGCCAGATATAGTGATAAGGGGGGTAGGATGCTTATAAACATCATACAGTATTATCTGTTGGACACAATGAGTAGAATATAAAATATTGCAACTAGTTCAAATCTTTCTGCAATGATGGCCCCCTTTTTGCTCAAATGTCTCAACAAGGATTATTCAAGAAGCTTTTTTATACCTCACAGAGTCAGTACCTTATTTGTCTCCTTTAGGACAGAAAAGCTCTGCTGGAAACGTAGGTTTTCTTAAGTAAAACTTAAGATACATACATGTGAATAAATTTACTGTGAATAAATTATAATTTATTCTATAATTACAAATACTGTTTATTGTGCATATGTGCATGAGTGTACGCTTATTTCTAATTATTAGCAGACTCACCTTTCAAGGGGGCTATATTTATCCTCAATAGTTGAGGAAATAGATTTTGAACGATTAATGAGATCATATAAGGCCACAAAACCAGTCTGTATTTTCATGTAGGTCTGACTGATATAAACACTCAATCCCATTCAACTCCGGTGGCTCTTAATCAGTGGTGTGCATTTGAATCACCTGAGAAATTTTTAAAAATGAAATAGATGCAAATTAGTTTTTAATCAAAAAGAACCATGTATATAATTTAAAAATAATCAGATAATACTGTTAACACTGATAGTGAAAAATGTCAAATCTTTGACTTTTCTCTACACATCCCTGATTTCCTTTTTTCAGAGGTCACTTTTAACTCCCAGCTACTGCCTTTTTTTTCTCTAAAAAACGATTATGGTACTTTTTATTGACTTTTCCACATATATTAGATATTGCATCTCTAGTATCACACACACAACTTTCCTCCTTCATCCTTTCAATGTTATCTAATCATTTCACATCAGATCAGTATTTACATAACTACCACTCACTGACTTTACAAGAGTAGTATTCACAGTAGAGGTATGCAGAGTCCTTATTAACTTTTTTTCCCTGGGTTTTGTAATTACCTGTTTTTGTTTTCTTATTTTTTTTAAAAGAGAGGTTTTTCCTATAGGACATGTACGCTCCCTGGAAAGACAAGAGATAGAGAAAGCAAGAAATCACCCCCCAGGGGGGTTGGCCACACCACAGTCCCTTCTCCTCCATTCTCCTCTAGGGATCTTGGGCACACAAGCACCCAGCCTGGCATGAGTTTAAGCCCTAGTCAGTCTGGGACTCAAACTGTGGTCAATCACATGGGAGTCCAGCGACTAATCATTACACCATCTGTTGGTTCCTTAATATGGAAAAAAACTTCTAAATCACTAATTCATCCCTGTGTTTTCAGGAAAACAAAAAAACAAAAACAAAAAACCCAAATCAAAAAAACCCTCTAATCTTTATTTAAATACATCACATACTCTACCAGTTTTTCTTTTTGAGAAATGCCACCTGAACTCTATGGATGTCATACTGTTCTATCACCCTTGACTCTTTAATAGTTTCATTACTATTATCAGACGCTTTATGGCTACCTTGCAAGTAATGTCTTTTTCCCTCTCAACAAGTCCATATTCCTCTATTTGCTAGGTTACAAGAACACTACAAGCATTTCATTCGCCTTCCCTTCAACATTCCCACTGATCAATTGTATTTTTACATGGAGGCTGGTAACATATGCATTTTATTTTGTAACCATAATTCAGTATCACCTTAAAAGAGGAAAACCATAAACAGTATTCACATTATTATGATTACTTAAACGTTATTCACGGAATAGCCACATTTTGTGATAGGGCTGGCGTTCCCTTTTTTGCTCCAAAGTCTTGATCCACCTGGTGCTAACAGGGACACTGAAATACAGTTCATTTTCTTACACCCGCAACGCTGGCTCAAAATCTTGCAGCATTTTATGTTCGGCATTTGCAGGATATTTTCCTTTTTTTTCTCTTTTTCTTCTCAAAAGTTTCTGATTGTCACTGTTTCCTTTGAGGGATGAAAAAATACATTCTTTTCACATCATATCCTTAATACCTTCTGCTTTTAACATACTCAGATCTTGCTTACAACCCAATCCGATAGTCAAGTTTACTGAATTTTTTTTTTTTTTCTGGAAATGTAGTTTTCTCGTTTTCTACAACGCATCCTGCAATCAGACCGGTGTTGAAAGATGCGTAGCTTCTACGTTACTTCCCTGGGTCTTAACTGACGTCTGTGTTCCGGAATTGCGTACTTCCACTTCCGGCCTCCTCCGGCTCTCTGGCACTATCCGGGAATCTCCCGCAGGAGCGAAGCGCCCAGCGGCGGAGGACGCCCGAACTTTCTCGCGAGACCGTGGGGCTCCTCGCCCCTAGCTCCACTACGCCGCGGGGCCCCATGGGAGTCCGCCATTGTGATGGTACGGGAGGCCCGCCGTTAGTCCAGCTCTAAATGTGTACCTGTAAGCGGATGTTGAGGATCACTGAGCCCGCGACGTAGATGTACGGGAAGTTCATGCGCAGCTGCCAGGCCAGCTCGAAAAAGGCGAGCAGCGTGCGGGAGAGCCCCTTGCAAAAGACCTTGTACGAGGTGGGGGCCGCGGCCGGGCTCAAGGCCCTGACGGCCAGGGAAGACGGAGTCGCCGCGAGGGCCATGGACGCGGTGTTGCCGCCCGCCCAGCGTCTGCAGCAGAAGATCTCCGTAGGCTTCGCCGGCCTCCAGGCGATGGCCCGGACCACCCGAGCGGGCGG